AAGCAACTCAATACGTACACCTATCAACTTTTTTTCGATGATAATTTTTCCAATAGTAAAAGTACAATTGAACTATAATAACTGTCGCCCCAATAATTTTTTTGTTTAGCCAGAATTTACATACACCAACACTATTTTCATGCATTGATATACATGTTTAATTTGTTAGATGTAGTTGTGATCTATCAACGGAGTTAACGGTTCCCAAATGATATTACACGGAACCTTAGGGTTCCGTGGTAGAGTGACAGGGCTTCCAAAAGTTAAGATTTTTTTTAACAAGTATTGATTTTCATAACCTGGTTTTAGATTTCAATATACGTAATTACTTACTTACTTTATTTACAAAAATTGGGCACCTGGGCCACTTAGCGGCCCCTATCCCATACATCTAGAAATTTACAGAAAATTTATAGTAATAACATTTTGAATTTAGCAGTCGATGTGGTAGCTAATAGAAAAACAAGCACTTTGCTTGAGTAAATATAACATTTGAATATCTGATTCATCGAATCTAAGTTGATATATATAAATATAAACATAATTTGACATATATATACATAAGTTGACATAAATAAATAATAACATAAATTGATACATATTTCACTAATTAAATTTCTATATTTTAACTAGCACATATTTAATTGTGACATACATTGAAGTTCATTCGAATACATTGTGGTAACCATAAAAAAAATTAAGCCGTTTGCTTGTGAAATAATAAAACAATGAAATTTAATATGACAAATTGACTTAACACTAGAAATATTGATTGTAGACTTAAATTAAAAATAAAGATAAAACATGATTTGATATGTACAGTAATTGATTTTTGAAAAATGAAAGGCATAATTGATGAATATAGATAAATCATACCTTGATACATGATGAAATAACATATTTGGAGAAAATGCAGTGAATATATTTTATCAGAGAAGTATTGCTCATTAAATACAATAGAATTTTCAAAAGAATTTAACATGCAAAGTTGATATATATGTATGCATAAATTGGTTATATTATCAGAAAATAATTCTTAATGTAATTTAATTTAACTTAAGTAAAAGTCTGATGTGAAAAGTTCAGTGAATTTAACTTGAGAGTCTTGAAAATAAAAGTAGAACTCACTGGGATTGAGATGTTTCCCCGATGATCCCCCGCAGAAGACGGAGCACTTCTTCATTTTTGAGCAATTCCTGTAATTCTTTGATTAATGACACTAATCGATGAGCAAGTTTAGGCGTCGAATATGATGTTGTTCGAGGGCTCCTTCTGCTGGGACGGGTCTCGCACCCAGTATAGTTGGCTGTGTGGCTTTTGTAACAATTACAGCATTTTGGAGGTGTAGTTCTGTCTTTGTTGCATTCATGTGACCTGTGGTTTTCAGCACATTTTACACACCTTGCAGGTGCATTGCAGTGGCTTTGTGTATGTCCATAATTTTGGCAGTTGTAACATTTTATAGGTCCTCGACCTCCTCGAAATCGTTCGATTTTGATCGGGATCCGCTGTATGTTGTTGACTTCGAATATTCTTTGGTGATTCGCCGTTGATGTTAGGATTATGAGAAAAAGTGGAAGGAGCCGACAGGCCTCTCCCATTCTTTTCTTAAACTGCACAATTTTAAAGGTTTCAATACTGCTTTTCTGTAATTCTGTATTGATGGCATCTGTATCAAAGTCCACAGGCAGGCCCCGGACCAAAACCTTAATATATCTGGCTTGCAGTGTTATTTCAGGTTTGCTGGGCGGATCCCGTACTTTGTCGGTATCCTCCTTAGGTTTTGTTATCGGCAAGATAGTGACGTCATCTGTTGAATTATGTTGGCTAGAAGAAGGACAGCTGTTTGCAGATATGAGTGTAGAATTATCTTCAATTGTTTTGATTGCATTTTGCTTTTTCTTCTTCTTTTTTCTTTTCTTTGCAGGTGGTTCTGTGCTATTGTTAATATTGATGTCCGTAATATACGTAATTAACTATCAAATATTTATTTTTATGAAATTATTTAATTAAAATGCTTGTGAATAAAAGAAATTCAAAACACTATTTTTTCGAATAACAGTTAATGAATAAATTACAAAAAGGATATAAAAAATTGCATTATTGTTTCGCATCGATAAAAATAACCAAACATTCAACCTCAAAGAAATACATTTATGTTTCTGTGATCAACATTCTCGATGTTTATTTTCGTTTTTATTTTAACAGAAACCATATTTCATATCATTCATTTTCAATTTATATACTAAAATCAAATTTACTCCGTTGGAAGTTAAGAAAATATCATTGTGGTATAGGATTTAAGTAATCATCCACGACGGCATATAGTTCCGATTTGTTTAGCTATCGAATTACATAATAATGCTTTCAAAGCAATATGATAGCTTTTAAAAGTTAAACTCGTCGGACAGAGATTTAATTCGTCCTGTTTTTTATAAGCAAAAAGAAGGCCGTGTTACGTTTAAAAGAGTTGGGGGTGTGAATATTTGGAGCATGGCATCCACTTAGTGTGTACTTAGATGACTCTCTATATAGGGATAATGGTTTTTTCTTACCTTGCAGCAGAGTATAACAACTAGACTAGAGGCGGCTCCATACCTAAGAATTCAGCTATTTAACATAGAACCCAATTTTTAGACAAATATTAAAAAAACTACTAATATTAGACTAATATTAGACTAATATTAATAATATTAGACTAATATTAATAATATTAGTCCAATATTAGACTAATATGAATAATATTGATAAAAAGATATGATAAAATAATTTCATTCATTCACTAGATATTTTTAAAATAATTAATAAAATTTAGATTTGTACATATTTTCAAAATTTCATTAATTGATATTTTTACAATTGTTAATATTGTTGTTGTTATAGTAGGCCATTAAGGCAAGGGGTGCGATTGTTCTTGTTTTCCAGTGGTATCATCTATGGCCAACAGTTTGAATTCTGTCACACCCATACGTCACACCCGTTTAAAGGGAGGACCCATTTATTCATTCTCAGATCGTAATTTTGACCTGAACCAGAGAACGATCAATCTCCAATTCAGTACCCTCAGAGGTATAATTTGTTATGGGAACATGACCCAACTGATTTAACCTGCACCAATCACCATTTACTACACGAGAAGTCTTCGGTCGGCTGGGTTCGAACTCCCATTCTTACGAACGTGAGTCCAGTGCCCTGCCAACCTGGCTATCCCGGCCACACAATTGCTAATAAAAAAATTTATAAATCTCGGGGTTTCAACAAAAGATGATCGATCATTTAGAATTCCACAGTCGAAACTAATCGGGGATCTTTGATCTAAGCAACATAAATTAAATTTTAAGCGCAACAACTAAAGGAAAAAGCATTAATTTTTCGATTACTTTTAATATGAAAATAAAATCTGACGAAAAATATTCATAAGTAGTCCGTTACGAACTTGTTGGCTTCACCCGTTATCCAGGCCGATTTCGAAATAATATTAATTATAGATATTAATAATATTAATTATAAACTAAGGAAAGTGATGACAAATTTTCAACAGGCTATTTTAAGGATTTTAATTTAACTTTAATTGCATCAATTATGATGGTCAATTTTAGAATTCACTGCGCCCATGTCCGTGAGTTCTTGGGTTCGAACCCCACCGGCCGAAGACTCCCCGTATAGTAAACGGTAACTGATGCTCGTTAAATCTGTTCAGTCGCAAAGTCCTCCACCTTCCTATAGCAAATCAATACCTCTGGGGGTACAGGATTGGAGAGCGATCATTCTCTGATTCAGGTCAAAATTACGATCTGTGCATGAATGAATGAATGTATGAATGTGTCCGCCCTATAAACGGGTGAGACGTATGGGTGTGGCGGAAGTCGAATTCTTGGCCATATATGGCGCCACTGGAAAACAAGGACAATCGCACCCCTCTGCCTAAAACAAACATACGAAGGTAAGCAATTTTAGCATTTTTTGTAATTTACAAATACATTTTGGTAGATAGGAGCTAGTAAATTATTTTTTCCAATCTTTCCCTATCGCCTTTTTAAATTTTCTCACTTGATGCCACCTTTTTATAAGAATCTCTGATATACAAATAAAAAATATTAATTTATACCAAATGAGTGCCATTCATATTTTTTTTTTCTTTTAATTTTTCGAAATATTATCATTTTTATATTCGGCATATTCGCACGTCCAATAAGGAAATTTCTAGAGCAGGTGAATTATTTAAAAATTTATTTTAAGTATATAAACTTTTAGAATGTTATTTCATATTTTAAAGCTTGCGCACATGTAAGTTATATATTTATATATTACTTAATTTTATAACCGGCGTTGCACAGCCTATCCAGTTTTGGGTTTACGATCTACAATGCTCAACTCCATAGCCTTGAAAGCAATCCATAATTAAACTCCATAGCCTTATGAAAGTCATCTGGAAGACAAGAAAACTGCTGTTGAGTTGAGACAAACTAGTCTTCGTTAAGGACTTTTTTTTATCGAATCAACCCTTCTTTGGGTTACATGAGTAGGAAAACACCGAAAACCACCCACGGTTAGCCAGACGGCCATGATCCATCTATCACTGACGATATTTTACGTTAGCACTCTGATCTGTACTCAAGTTCATACTATCACTAAAATTTAAATTATTCATTATTTATGTAAGATTTTTCATCCAAATTTGAGTAGTTCTCTTCATTACGTATTAATAGTTAAATGTCTATTGCTAGCAAACTATGTTAGCAAAACACGATAGACATATTGAAACTAATATACGTTTAATATTATTCTTCATTACATTTTTGATCTCAAATGATATTTTTATATAAAACTATAGATTAAAACGAATTTTCAAAACCTTGTTTATTTGAGTAAATTGTAAATTAATTAATTCCTGAGTTTATAAGTTTCGAAAATCATACAGGTGAATAAAATTTATATACAAAATGATACTCTTTCTTCAGCTGTAATACATATATTCATATGCGTCTCATATTTTTCAGGTGGAATTCGATGACGTCATAGCAGAGCCGGAGGGCACATACTCGCCAAGTTGCGTGTGGAGAAACGCCAAATACATTTTCTCTTGTTCTAAGAACTGCTGCTACCGAACCCTGTCCTTAGTGTGTGCTTTACCCATAGCTCTAATTGTCGGATGTAGTTTCGCATGCATAACATTTCAACACGTATGGTGCATAGCCCCAGCACTACGACAATTCAACATAAATTGTCACGCAGTTCGTATGTTTTTAAGGACAGCATTGGACGCATGTTTAGGACCCTGTTGTACAACGTTAGGTCTTGTACTGAGTAAAATTAGGATAAGCCAACATACAGATAATACACGACATGTATGACACCAACGTGCAGAATTGCTTTATACTAATATCTCAATGTATATTGGATTTGTTGAAACTCAGATTGAAAAAGATTATGACTCAGATTCGGAAGAAGGACATGTTGATGGATATAACGCCAAAAGTCATAAAACATGACGCACAATTTCTCCTCATTTATTGCTTGATTGTGAAAAAGTAAACTATTTCTTATTGAAATGTCATACTCATAATCATAATTTATTATTACTGTTATTTCACAAATGTTAAGTGCATATTATCTATTTTCAAATTATTAAGACTTGTTACCTATGTTTTGCTTAATGGTCTTCATAATTCTTTTTTATCATGGCATTCCTATGTGTTCTTACTAATTCTTGCTGTGCGATGGAAAGCAACATAACTTTCTTTTTCGCAACTGTTTTAGGTGTCATTATGTGTCAAAGTTGATTAATTCGTATAACAAGTATAAATATAATATTATAAAGGACATATTTCTATTGAAAAAGCAGAATAAATATGCCAAACAAGCCACCTACACACGTGACAAAGGAATCAACATTTAGTGACCTAAGTGATTTAAGCGCCAACTGAGAGAACAAATACGAGAGAGAGACAAAAATTTTGAGAAAAAGAGAGAAAAAATGACAAGAGGGAGAACAAATAAGGTTGACTAATTTAATGAATTCAATTAAAGAAAAAATTTTGAAACGAATATAATTATCTTGAGAAATTTAAAAATAATGTAAAAAAAAATCTAAAAGAAATTGTTTCTCGTCAGTTAAACTAAAACAATACCTACACAGTTAAAATATTTACTCGAAAATAAAAACTGTACTTAATTTTCTTGTTTTTTCTAATCAAATCAGCTCCCGTAACTCTGGGCGTTTTATTATTGATTCGTCTTCGTAAACTCTCTCTAACCTTATTATATAAATCATCAATAATTGTTATTCACTTCCTATAGTCATTTCTATGTAAATTTAATGCACATATGTTGTTTTATGTATTTATATACCTAAAAGTATCAATTTTGATTTTTATATGAAATCTGTAATAAAATATGTGATTAAATTTTAGTCATTTATTTGCAAACACATGTAGTTGGTTTTTAATATACTGCAAGGATATTTTGAATTCAAATCTGCTTTAAATATAATATATCTCATTTCTAGGTTATGAGCCAAAACCAAATTTCTGTTGTTTTATATTATGTTGGTGGCCAAATATAAAAAATGTGATTTTAATCAAATCGTTAATTTTGAATTAATTGACGATAATATCAAATTTAGTCCTGAGACTATATTTTTCCTTAGTATTATCAGAATACTTTACGCCCTTAAATTAATTTCTCAACAAATCAAGATGAACTGCATCACTCCGTACCGTAAAAGCCCTTGGGGGGGATGGTGCAAGAAATCGAGAGGCTCGTAATTTTTATCACTTCTCGATCATTTGCATAGATGCAAATATTGTACATAGTTTTCCCCTAATCCAGTTCATTTTCTGTATATATCAACTGATTTATTTAACTTTAACTTCATTATCTTACATATATAATTATTTTTATCTTAATTTACTTAACCTTTTAACGCACAGATTTTTTGAAAAAAACAGGCCAAAAAAAAAATTTTTTTTTAATGTAAAAAACACACTTTAGAACGTAGACTTTTCTTTTGGTGGACAATTTTGATACACTGCGCTTTTGTTCAATGGAAAAAGGCTATATTCAGAGATGCCAACTGCGCCGGACAAGCCAAAACAATTATTAAAAAAACGGTTAATAACTACAAAATAAATTTTGCAAATATTTGACTATTTTTGCTTGCTTTTTAAAAGGTATAGCATGACATAAGTACTCGTTCGTTCGTTGTAGTGGAACTGAGCGTCTGAGGCCTTACGGCCCTTTTCCTATTCATCCTGAAATTAAACTAAGAAACATACATGACAAAATTAAAATTTGGGGAGCAAATGGAGTTCTGTGACTTAAAAACTCGTCCTAGTCCTAGTGTTTAGATTTTATTGGGCACCTGGGACGCGAAGCGGCCCCTATCCCATTCATCTGGAATTTTTGAAAAGTTTTGGTTGAGCAATGAGGTAAGCAGGCAATGGAGTTGCTTTTATGAATGTTTCAAGCTCTTTGCTTGAATAACTAAAAAGGAATCAAAAATAAATTGAGCAGCTTGCTCTAAACTGTGTTTGTTTGATTTTGGAGTTGTTCAGAATTTTATCAGCATGAGTAAACGTTATTTTCAGAAAGGTTGATGAAATTATTTGTTTTGATAGTTATGATATGAGGCGTCGGAGGTNGGACCCTTTTCAAAAATGTCCCTTAAAAACAAAAAATTCATATACACAACATATATTCGACCGATCTTAACTTATGCATCCCCAGCCTGGTGCAACTTGAATAAAAAGCAAACAAAGAAATTAAATACTTTCCAAAATAAAATTCTAAGAAAAATGAGTGGAATGCCATACTTCATAAGAAATAGTGCCATCCATAGAGATTTCCACATTAAAACCTTAACTGAAACAATTGTTGATCTAAATTCCAAATTTTTAAAAAATGCGATGAAATGTAATGCAGCAAATTTTTATAAAATTTTTGAGGCAGATATGTTAATAGAGGACTCTAAAATCAGACCTATTGCATACTTTCTAACTAGTGATGCAATACTTTCGAAAAATTTTAATTAATTTTAAAAAATTTTAATGTTAAAAAAGGCTTTTAAAAGGGCCAATTTAGTTGTAACATTTACCGCTAAACTTTATTGGCGCTGATTGCATTATCTCAATATTATTTACTTGATATTTCTCCGCTAGCCATCACTGGCGCTAATTTTCAACTTCAAATGTAGGCGTGACTTTGGGCGCTGCAGTCGCGCACATCTAATATTAAACTAATATTACATTAGTTTCCTTCTTTTCTCGCTCTCTCCTTCTCTTTTATCACAGATACAACCAAGTCAGATCTCACTAGTGCCAGATGGAAGGGTAAAAGGCCCCTACGGGGCCTAAAGGCCCTGAGCAATCCCAAATGATGATGTATTATATCACGCTATACCTGTTAAAAAGAAAGCAAAAATAGTCAAATATTTGCAGCATTTACTTTGTAGTTATTTACCATTTTTTTAACTAATTAATTTGGCGTGTCCGGAACAGTTGGCATCTCTGGTTAAGGGATGCCCCAGCCCTCTTTATATTTAATTTCGATGAAGAAAGCAGACAGCAGTACTCCGTATCCTATGTTTAAACCGCTAAATTGGTAGACTTTTCCGGTAGATCTAATACATTACCCTTGCTTAAACTAGGAAAAATATTTTCTGCAACTACGGAGAATCCGTTGTAGTACCTGAGTAATTTATCACATTTTAAAATTTTTTGCATAAAGCGGAGCAGTTGAATTCCCTGCAACCTTAACCTCTTCGAAACGGGCAAGTCATAGTTATATGCATTCTCAGGATGGCGATAATCAAGGTAAAAAGAAGATAAAACTGGTAGCAAAATTATTTTAATAGCAGTTTATTTGCGGGCGGGGTAATGATAGTTTGCGTTATTTAATTCACCACTACTTAGTTCGTATTAAAAGTTGTATAGTTACACTCTTAACGCTCGTGGATTGGATGTGTTAGATTTAAAGTGAATGCAAAAATAAATCTGTTAAATTAGCTATGCCCAAACTTAAGCTACTGCTTTTTAATTTTTACCATCCTGATACTAATTCCTTACGAATACATTTATGACTCATCCCTCCCGGAAGGGTTAATCAAGGTGACGTAGGGATGCCAACCGCTTAGTTTTGGAAAAAAGATTTTTATAAAGTGATAGCAGATAAAAATTAAAATTTACTTAATCTCGTTAAATTCCGCCAATGCTTTAAAAAAAATAACTAAGAATTTATTCCAACAAAGTAGCATATTATTTGAATTATTTAAATATAGTGATGGGCAACTAAAGCTTGTATGAAATTTACGTTCCAAATAATCAACAGGAATATTTCGACCACTGGCATAACTATTTCCACAAAGCGGAGCAAGTTGGTATCCCTGTTGCCGTTCATTATTATTTTTTTACTTGTCTTGCTTTTGGATCTGGGACGCGAAGCGGCCTTATCCCATTCATCGTGCAGCATTTGTTGTTTGCTTCCGTTGACACTTCAGGCTCACTGGACATAAATGGAAATAATGACTAACATCTTCTGGGTCATTTTTCATTTATTTATGGAAACATCACAAATTAAAGGCACTATGATAGCTCATGAAGAACTGGAACTACTCCATAAAAGCACTCTGCAGCTTCCAAGATAATACGTGTCCCCTTTCTCTGCCGTTAATCTCCACAAATCAATATATAAAAATTGGTAAATCTATTCGAATTACTCAATTCGCATTAATGCGCAATTTCAGTAACACATAAATAATAAAAATAGAGAATAAACTTTTATCTCCTGAGCATGCTGAGAAGGAAAACGAACCTACTTCGAGCACCAACACAAATCGAATGTGAGCGCCCATCCGGGTGACCGGCCTAGCAAAGCTCACGGTGGCAGTTAAAAAAAAAAAACTAGGAGCAAGGTACAGTTACAAAAGTGACATCATAAATTTAGACGAATGCCGAAAGGTTAAAACTTGAGGGTATTGTGATAGCATCATCACGCACTCCAACATTTAACATTGTGCGAAATAATTTTTCGACTGGTAGTAAACTAAAATAAAATTTATTTGAATATAAAATTTAAAATTTTAATTGAATTTTCGATTGGACAAAAGAGAAGGACTATTTGTTCATCAGACTATTTATGCATATGTTTAAATTATTAATAATTTAGTTAAATGAATTTAATTCCAGTTTATAAAATCCTAATTTATTATGTTTGCTACCACTAGAAAAATTCTTTTCAAAAAACACAGAAATTCTATAGTAGGTGAAATGTGTATCGCTCTTTCAGTACTAAATTGTATGAATAAAAAGAAAGAATACTATCTGATTTCTAATAGAACGGAGCATTGTAAGCCGTTGTGGAACATTTGTTTTATGATACTGCAAGCGAGTGACACAGACTTCCACTTCAAGTGCTCCACCCAAATTGCAATGTATAGGGCACGAAAACGCAATCGCGTGAGTTCTTATTCTTTTCCTAAGAATGAAAAAAATAAAAAACTGAATGCAACAAAACTGCTATCGCCGCCGTTTTTCGGAACAAGAACAAATGTTTTGTTTCTCGATGAAACATTGGAAAATGCGTCATTTAGACAGAAATAGAACAAGAGGAAATGAAAGAATATTCACGTGCACTGCAACTGGAACTATACACGTCCTAATTTTAACCAATTTGCTGTTTATAAGCCTTTCATTTGAAGCATTTTGACGAATTTTAGTTCAGATTTATTCCATACGAAAGTTACATCGATTTTAGTTTGTCTAATTAAGAGCAATAATTTATTTCAATGTTACATGGCAAAAAGCCAGAAAATAACTACAAAATTAATCGAAATTCTTGCAAAAATTAAACTTTGTAAAACAGTTTTATCTTGAATAAGTTTTGTTTCAAGACATTTCTTTTAGATCCAGATAAAGAATTGACTTAAAAAAAAGGTTAAAAATAATTCAGCTTTATTGTAAATTGTTACTCCGTGATCGCTGCTTCATAGAACTGACAACCTACATTCGCCACCGCGTCATAAAAGTTGCGTGCTCATGCTCAGGGCACTTATGTAAATCATTATATGCACAAATTAACTTCGATTATAAAATACGCTATTGAAACTTATCGTATTTACAAATTTATAAATTTGATTTCTTATGTGACAATTAAAACATAAGGATAATCGATTTTATTCTTTAGTTGTGCAGATTTAAAAAAGTGATCTAAATATGTATGTTTTTTTCATATGTATATAAAAGTAGTTGTACGTAATAGTTCATACCAAATGCATATTTCGTTCTTTTGCCTAACGTTTTATCTTTAAAATAAGTATTACATGACATCACATTCAAATAAAAAAACTGTTATATTATTAATGTTATGGTAAACAGAACTATCTTGATTCTGCGAAATAAATCTAAATGAA